ATTAAGTACTATCGGTAATCATCTCCCTTTATTTAGTTATTTATTTATTTGTTTAGATAAATAACAGCAAACCTTTTCAACAACATAATTAGATTCAGTATTAGTTACTGGTAGAGTCTTTGTGCGCTAACACACAGCACATCACAGCAACTACAGGAAACGGTGAATACGTCTCATTTCAGTAGCTGATGGAGTGTTTCTACCTTCTCATTAAATCCTTTGATTATTATTTGTGGTAATGAGCAAAGCTGCTGCAAAAATACAGTTTGCAGTTTAATTTTGCCCAAAACAAAGAAGAAACATTTCAGGGTTTTTTCTTCAAAGTATTAAATGTTTTAATGTGGTACGACTCCCTGCATTTGGTACTTTACTCATACTGTAACTAATACGCTTTTATAGCCTCGGAGGGTCAACAGCAAGTCTGAATAATCTCCTGATGTTGGGGTTTTTCTCTCAGGAATGCCTTTGACCCTCATCTGTTATTTATTCCAGTTATATTTTAGCTTCATTGTCCTATTTGTGGGATGCTTTTATGAGTATTTTAAGCTCTGGCAGTCGACCAAATTTCCCTCCAGAGAGCAGAGCTGAAGTTGAAGTTAGGGGCTCCAGACAGAATGGCATCAAAACATAAATAAAGAAATAAATAAAAAAGAGAGAATGTGGCTGCATTTAAAAGGCCAACAGAGAGCAGTGGACTAACTGGAGAAAAACAGGACCAAGCTCAGCTGCGAGATGAAATCAGTCAACATTTTCCAAACTCTCACCAAAGGGAGAGCAGCTTTCTCTGACCTCTTATTGGGTCGTGCTGTTAGCTGTAGTTTCCCCACATTAGTGAGAGAAAGCAGTGCTTAGTAGCACTCAACCTGCCTGTGCAGAGTGGAATCGATTTAATGGGAGAGGAAGATGCAGACAGACCTACATCACCTCATACCAAGTCGGAATAAAACAACAAACTTAAGGCAAGTTGGTATATAGACATATTTTTATATGCATACAGGCAGCGGGCTCTTAGCCCTCTACTTTGGTCCAGACTGAAAGATTTCAGCTCCTGGATGGATTTCTTTGAAAACACCATCACAAATCCCTCTGTTTGTTCAGGCAGTGGACGTCCCA